CTGGTATATAAAAGAGGGTGACAACGTGACGGGGGAATAATGTGTGTGTAGACAGTGAGTAATTGATCTGCAGTCAGAGAGTATTATTGAGCACGTTCATTGTTATAGCGTTTGTTTTAGCGAGATTGTTGAAATTAAGTGTATCATAAAGTTGTATTCAGAAAGAATAAACCAGTTTTATTAAGTAAGGACTTGTGTCGCTAAAGTTTCATCGGAACGAAGTTACGGGAAGTTAATTAACGAACGGAGAGGTAACAAAATGATAATTCAATCCTGGTGATGTTTTGAATATCTATATATTAAATATGCTCAAGAATTTCACACCCATATATACATTTCATATTTTGGACATATATATAATTTACATATATCAAAGAAAGACGCATCATGATGCACAGCATAAAATTCTGAAATCATGCTAATGCAAAAAAGGTACTGTGTAACTTTTGTACATAAATACACAGATATAGTCATCCTTTCAAACATGTGATATATAATATTTGAAAATTAATTCTACTATCACTGCTCAACATATGAATATTTTATTCATATTTTCTTTACATTTGTCATATGGATCATACAGAATGGTTTAAAGATTTCAAACTATTAGTATTAACTATGAAGACACACTGAATCACATTAATTTTCCTATTAAAAACTTGAATCAAGTCATGTACCATTTCAGTATACTTACACACAACTTTTGCTGTCAGTGAAAAGTTATATAATGTTACAAGAATTATACTTTAATAGCTTACAACTTCAGATAAATGGTGTCACAAGATTCTGATGGCTTAAGATTGGCTTCAAATTTCCAGTTGCCAAATTCTCATGAACTCTCAAATGCTCTTCATCTCCAGCTTTACCAACAAGCAAAACATTCTCATTACTGATTGCAATGTATACTTTGTTTCAACATGTCATGCAATGCTTCTTGATTTCTCAAATTTTCCAGAACATGCTACTTTATACAAGCCAACATCCAACTACTAATAGAGACCATATATTCTTCACCATAAGAGAGACAAGTGAATTCATGGATGACAAGATATTTCTTTATTCTTACAAGGGACTTAAATATGTATCAAATCTCATCCTATGGATAAACTCTACCTAAACATAAAACTAACTTGTTTCTTATATATTGTGACTACTGTCCTAAATATTTTAATAGTATTACTAGGTTTCTTTGGTACATCAGACTTCAGAATGTTAGAGGCAGTCAAAGCATTTAGCATTTCACTGATATTGCTATCAGTGAAATCACTACAAACTTATTTTGTTTCAAAAGCTGTTTAATGTGATATATTTCATCATGCAGCTGAGAATAAATGCTTACAATCCTCAGACTACCTACATTAATGATCATTCCTATTACACATATTCAAAAAGATATAAACCCCTCAACTCATTGTTAACTTGAGCACCCCTTGTATTTATTACGAACTCGCCTGGAAGGTATGACACAGAAACGGGGTGCAACATACTCCTATTTTATCATGCAGCTTAGAATAACTACTTACAATCCTGTAAGAACAATCAGTAAGTATTTTAACCAAATTCACTTTAATTATATATGAGTGCATCCAAGAATGAAAAACTAGATTTCCATTCATACAAACTGTAAACTTTATGTTTGAATATTTTTTATTCAATGACATGGCTATGAGATTGAATAATGGTAAATGTATCATCCATATATATCTTCTATATAAAATGGATTGAATTCAATAGGGCACTTTTTATTCATAGTTCCTCAAGAAAAGTCAAATATAAATTAGCCATAACAGGTGTGAGCTTAGATCTCTATTAATATCACCAACTTGTTCAGAACTTGCTTCATTAAACACAAATTGTAATAGTTTGTCAAACTAAATATGAAGACCAATTAAGAGTTTGTGAGAGTTAATTTGGAAATTGCAAATTAGAATTTGGTGACACCACTTCTCCTCAAATTGTAGGCTATTAAACCTATAGTATAGTTCTCATATCAATGCATACTAAGATTCAAGATTTAAATTACATAATGCATTAATGCAACTACATCTCACCTTTGTTGTTAGTAAAAAGTTATAAAACATTTGATTATAATCAAACACAACTTTTGTTTCACTGAAAAATTATGCAATGTTACAACATCTTTACATGTAACTTCTTTTGCTACTGAGAAGTTATTTAATGTTACAACACAATCAAATGCAAACTTTGTTGTCAGTAACACGTTAGGCAATTTTACAATACAATTTTGTGCAACTCCTTTTGTTGAAAGTGACAAGTTATGTGATGTAATAATAAAATTACAAATTGCATTTGTTTCTATTGGCAAGTTAAATGAAGTATTACAACAATGAAATAAAGATAATGTACTTTTGTTGGTAGAAAGTTAGTTATTATTAAAAAAATAATCATATATAACCGTGGTTGCCAGTTGGAAGTTAAGAGACATTCTCATCATGCAAGCTTTGTTTTGAATGACAAATTTTGTGATGCTGTAGTATTCAAGTACAGTGATTTCTGGCAAATAGTTATAAGTGAAATACAGCAGATTACAGAAATGTTATGTAGAAAATAACTTCAAATATAAGAGTAAAAGACTGAAGCCAATGCAAGTGTACAAATAAGTAAAATCTTTATTCTCAACCAGTTTAAACCTTAATTGATTCTATATTTGTTTCTGACTAAACTGGCTGATGGAGCAGGAACGCAGGTTGGAATAAAAATGTATACAAAATCAGAGACCAAAATCAGAAAAATTATGAATCCACATCTTAAAATCAGACCATGGTTCTACTGTGGTATTTCACAATCTTTAGACTACCTATATCAATGGTCATTCCCATTTCACACATATTCAAAAAGAGACAAACTCCTCAACTCATTATTTACTTCTACAACTCTCTTGATCACCCTTTGAAATTATTATGACCTCACTTGGAAGGTATGACACAGAAACAAAGCCAAGCAAGTATAAGCCCTACAGAACAATCTGGTTTACAAGGATGTTATTAACTGCATGCAAAACACCAACGAAAAAAAAATCAAAGATTACATAAACATTCCTTAATAATATCCTTTACTAGTTGTGAAAGAGTGAAATATGTAGTTCTTTCAACTGTGAAAGAGTTAAGTTTCCATGCAATCATATGAAGTGTACTGTAAGTAATTCATTATATAATGTGTTAATGCAATACTTCTTTTTTTTATATGGGCTGCAAAAATGTTTACTGTATCAGTCAGAATGGTGAGTATACTTTACTAAAGTCTGTAGGTCATGATTGTAAATTTGTTGATACAGTGTTACTTCCTCATTACTGATCTCTAGCACATCTTTTATAATTTTTCTTTCTTTGCAATATGTATTTGAATTTTCATCAACTATGCTATATCATTATATGCATGGAATGACTGTTATGTTAAAACGTTATGAAACACTATCTAGGGATATAGGTAATATATATATATATATATATATATATATATA